CTCCCCCAACCAACCAACCAATCAATCAATCAATCAATCAATCAATCAATAAAAAAAAAAAAATCAATCGATCAATCAATCAGTCAATCAATCAATCATCAATCAATCAATCAATCAATCAATCAATCAATCAATCAATCATCAATCAATCAATCAATCATGCAATCAATCAATCAATCAATCAATCAATCAATCAATCAATCAATCAACGAATTTTTTTTTTCTATTTTTTAATTAATTTTCGCACTCATAAAAAATCACCCCCCTCAAAATATATATATATATATATATATTTTTGAGTGCGCAGTCCTCTAGAGGAGGACGTGCGCAGGCCGAGGCCGCACGCCGATTTCCTGCGCGGGCCCTTGGCTGAGCCTGGCGAGGCCGCAAAAATACTTGGCCGCGTGGCCTAGGCCGCGGGTCCGCGGCCAGCCTCCTCGGCCGCGGCCGAGTCGGCCTAGGGGGACACATAGCGCACCGTCCATTACACCCGGCTCCCCACTGGGGATCGGGAGCGGAGTCGCTTTCTACCACCTCTTCCCCAAGCTCACCCTCCTCTTCCCCCTCTCATCACCAGACTACCTTTCCCCAGCAACCTCTAGGATCGGAGTTCGCGATGCCACCTTGGATGACTTCCACACTCTCATCTTACAGTGAGTGGCACGTGTCAGCTCCACGATGATCATTGGCAAGTCTTAGGATCAGCCAACGGCAGAGAGCAAGTGGAAGCTTGCTCAAGATTGAAACCCCTTGGATGTCACATATGTGACGAACTGTTCTCTTCAACCGCGTGGATTTCTGGGTGATACTATATCGAGGAGTGGGGGGAAATTGGCTGAGTCGGAATGGCCTGGCGGATTGCATGGATGCCCTTGCTTTTCTTGTTTCTTCAACTGAAGACTGGTCTGGTCCCACTACGGTTGATAGTTGATCGCGCCTAAGCGAGCGCGACGAATAAACGGTTGTCATAACTTCTTTCTTGTTCTGCTGTGGGAAATGAGAATTTTGGCACGATTGTTGCGCGGGGAAATCTTTTTGAATTTTCAACTGATGACGAGCCCCTGTGGGCTCTCGGAATCTGCTTCGTTCGGATTTTCTTTTTGTAATTAGGACTTAGATTAAGAATTTTGGTGCATCTCAATTTCTGTGACACGTCGCTTCTTGCTTGCGCACGCTAGGCCGCGTCAAGAACTGTGTTTTGACTTTCCCACGCCTTAATCTTGTATGTAACTGTAATCTTTGTTTGGCGGGCATAATTGCAACTGTAATCCTCTCGTATTTGATATCTTTTATGGCCCCTTTGCGCGCCAATACCTCTACCTCATCCTATTGGTTTGAACGCTTGCATGACCGGATCGATGTGTGGAGTGGGGCTACATCCCCCACGTCGTGGCCTGGCCATGCAGGCGTAAGCACTTCCTTCGTCCATCTTCCTCCCACCCGAACACGATCCCGAGTATCTCGCGCAAAACATGCATGCTATAAATCTTGCAAGCGCGATTAATTCGCTCTCTAAGACTTTTTGGAGTTAGTGCGGTCAAGAGGATCGGCTAACGAGCATGAGGTGGCAGGTGAGTAAGAGAGTTGGGCTATCCGACAAGCTGGTGCTGAGCGTGCGGGGTTGACGTGGGGCCGCGACGGACTGTGGCACACGGGTGAACCTGACAGGCATGCTCGGGCTAAGCAGGGTGACAACTCGGTGTAGGTGCGAGACGACGGACTGCCCGCATCGAGACGCTGTGAAGAGAGAGAGAGAGAGAGAGAGAGAGCTGTCTCTTATACACATCTAGATGTGTATAAGAGACAGGGGTGACAACTCGGTGTAGGTGCGAGACGACGGACTGCCCGCATCGAGACGCTGTGAAGAGAGAGAGAGAGAGAGAGAGAGAGAGAGAGAGAGAGAGAGAGAGAGAGAGAGAGAGAGAGAGAGAGAGAGAGAGAGAGAGAGAGAGAGAGAGAGAGAGAGAGAGAGAGAGAGAGAAAGAGAGAGAGAGAGAGAGGCAGGAAGTGTGCAATGAGCTTCTTCTTCTAGCCCTCTAAGCCGTTTTGATTCCTCGATTTTCCTTCTGAGCAATTTTGGTATCCGACGCAAGGCACCTTTGTTTCTTTCGATTGGCATCTCAGATCATTTCTTCGCTTGTCTCTAGTGATTGAGACTGTTTCTCCCATTTTGTTCTCCCCTCTATATGGATGGACCCCATTGATTGGTTAATTGCCTACGATCGAATTTTGTACGATCCTGATGCATGAATGATTGTCACCTTCCTTTTTTTTTGTTTATGTATGCATAAAACTGGACGCGTGGACGATGGGTATTTGTCTGTCGAAATTAAATAAGCACGCTAGATGATCAGATTTTTGTTTCTCCATAACGCTATCCACCCTCGGTTAACAGGCCAACACGTACGAGACCTGGGTCATTAGTCATTGCCGGTTGGACCGAAGGGCAGGCTTTGTGCACACACGTGTAGGCCCGATCAGAAGAATGTGGCCTACACGCGGGTCTGCAGTGCCTGTGCTCGGTCCAACTAGCAACTCTTCGAATGACTTAGTTTCCTCCTTACCCCACAACATGAATACTGAACCCCCTTTTCGTATTACTGAATGCGAGTCTTTGAGAGATTCGGAATTTCGGGAGTATTGGGAGCACGTGTGTTTGTCTGCACGATCGAGGAGAGAACTTCCTGAATTTCCATACCTGGTGGTAAACGAGCGCATCTGCGAATGGGATATCGACCAAGCTCGAGAGCGCATTCCCCA